GGTTCGCAGCCCGATTCGTAACCACTACGCTACCAGAGCTCCTTTCATATATATATATATAATATGTACACACTATTGTTTCCCTTCTATTTAACTCTGGGACAAAAATCTTACTTGAGAAGACAATGACCCATTTAATCTCAAATTATTATTGCAATAAAAACTTTTGTTGTTGTTAGGTGCTATTGAGTCGGTACCGACTCATAGCGACCTTAGGTACAGTAGAACGAAATAAAAACTGTGGATGACTGCTATTTCACTGGGACCATATTGCAAGATAGGTGATTCGCAGACTTCTCCTTAAGACTAATTAACAGTATTGTAGGATAAGCACTGGACTGCCAATCGTAAGACTGGCAGTTCAAACCCATTAGCAGCTACACAGGAGAAAGATGAGGCTTTCTGCTTTCATATAAAGATTTATAGCCTCAGAAACTATACAGAGACACTATGAGTCAGAAACGACTCAGTATAACAGTGAGTTAATTTCCTGGTTTTGGGGTAAAGAGAAAGTCGCTGTAGCCCCATGATGGTAGCATAGTTCCTTTCCCCATTGTTTTCACTAAGAAAAAAACCTCAGCAAACCCACATGTAGTTGAAAACCATCAGCAGTCTGATGGGAAGCTTTTCGTAATGGACGTCCTGTGGCTGTTCAGAGCATAGCGTGGTGTGGCACCGTGGGTTAATGTGCTGGACTGCAAAGTCGTTTCAACCACTGTTCAAGCTCACCAGCCGCTTCTTGGAAACCCTATACAGGGTCATTATGGGTCGGAACCGACATGGCAGCACTTCACAACAACAAAGACACTTAACACAACAAAGGTAATTTAAGAGGAAAAATAGATATATGTCATCCTACCTCCCTTTATAGGAGCTCTGGTAGTGTAGTGGTTACGAATCGGGCTGCTAACCTGAAGGTCGGCAGTTCGAAACTACCAGTGGTTCCACAGGAGAAAGATGAGGCGTTCTGCTCCTGTAAAGATTTACAGGCTTGGAAACCCTGCGCAGGGTCGCTATGAGTCGGAACTGACTCCATGGTACTTAACAACAACAACCTCCCTTTATGGAGTCCTGGTGTGGCGCTGTGGGTTAATGCGCCAGACTGCAAAGCCATTTGAACTGCGAGGTCGGCAGTTCAAGCTCAACAGCCACTCCTCAGAAACCCTATACAGGGTCGCTATGGGTAGGAACCGACTTGACAGCACTTAACAACACTTCCCTTTTTGCCGTTATTATACTGTTGTTGATGTTAAGTGCTGTCGAGTCGGTTCTGAATCATAGCAACCTTGTATAGGGTGTTCAAGGATCAGTTGGTGGGTTTGAACTGCAGACCTTGTGGTTTGCAGTCCAGTGCTTATACCACAGCACCATACAAGGACTCCACATTGCACATTAGTACACTATTCATATCAATAGCTTAGGTTTCAGCATTATTTTGGTGGTCTTGAAAATCTTTCTCTGTTGGCCCAGATTACTTAAAGTACTGCTCGGTTACATAAACATGCAAGTTCCAGGTTTCTGTGATATACACTGAATCCTACACACAAGCTGCAATAACAAATTATAAAGATATATTCACTCTGGTTAAGACTGTCCACAGTGACTATGACAAAGATGTTCCTGTAACTGTTGAGCCTACAACATAATTTATGGCATGGAGATAAAACACACACACACACACAAACCCTATATTAGTCAAGAAAATGGGACAATGCATTTTTTTATGCAAAAGTTAACTTTTCTTAAAAGAGAAATATATTAAGGCTTCACATGTAAAGAAATTAATTATTCCCGTTAGGTTCAAAATAAAAAGAACAGCTTTCTAGTGTGGTATACATAGAAGATACTTAAAATATCTGTGCACAAACTGAGTATCATTCCACATTCCAAAATGTGCAGTACATACTGTCTAAGAACTAACTTTTAAAAATCCTTTTTTCTAAATCTTTATACCGTATGTGAATTAAAGCACTAACGTCAAAGAAAATACAAGATTTTTAAAAAGCTCAACCACTAATGAATACAACTGCAAATCTAATAGGAGATGGGGGCAACTTTTCTTACAAAAAAATAAAAAAAATAAAAATCAACTCTGGCAAACCTCTTTACGGATTACTAAAGTCATCAGAAGTTACAAGTTTCACTCAAATATGGTTTCATGATAGCTGCTAAATATATCTAATAGTTCAAATCTGGCCAATTTTTTTTTTTAAACAATTTCACCTTTTCAGAGAGCTTTCATACAAAAAAAGAACTAAGATAAATCCCTACTCATTAGTCATTTTGTAAGATGCTGTTTTCAGCATGAACTAAAACACACTGAGAACAAAGCATTTCTAAACAACAAAGTTCTAATGCTTGTTTAATCTACTGTCCATTCACATTCTGATTCAGGAATAAAAAAGGCCAATGTTTGTGTAATATTTGTATTTTAGAACAGCATTTACTATTACAGAAGTCTTACATGTAGCTATTATTTAAAGCAACAAATGCAACATAGAGCAAATTAAAAACTTTACATTTAGTGTCTCTAGTACAAAGACTGGTGGAACACAGTGGCTCCATTTGATAAGCACTGGAGTGCAAACCACAAAGTTGGCAGTTCAAGTCAACGGCCACTCCTCAGCACAAAGATGAGACTTTCTGGTCCTGCAAAGATCGAAGGCCTCAGAAACCCTCTGAGGGTCACTACGAGTTGGAACCTACTTGATGGCACTTAACAACAAGGTAAAGATTATAAACAGGTCCACAGTACAACATAATTTTTTTATAAGAGCTTCTAAAGCTGCTTCTAATATTTTCTAGTTTATTCCAACAATTTTTTTAACTAAGTGATACATTAAAAAAAAAAAAATGTTTTAGATGATCAATTTTAGAGACTATCAATTTGTTCATTTTTCCTCAGAAAATGTTACCAGACATACACAGGGCTTTTCCAAAAGGATCAAGTTACCACTTCAACTACTGGCTTACAGTTTAAACTTTGGAGCCTGTCCTTTGAGTGTGGGAAAATGATTTATGTCTGACCTCAATTGTTACCTAGGCCTTTTTTTTTTTTTTTGGTAGACTTGCTCTATGGGAAGCTTACTATAAACAAATGAAAAGGATGTTTTTTTTTTTCCACCAAACATAAATTTTGTAACTTTTTGATGGCAATTTCACTTATACCATTGATTTTTCCATCATTTCTTTTCAGTCAGCTGAAGTTTTTTTCTTTCTTATAAGAGGAAATACAATGCATTCGCTCTAATTACCACTTCTTGCTTCTTACCGGTCGATATACCAGTGTGTCTACATGGGTGCGTGGCTTCCTGAATCCTTCCATCTTCTATGCTGTCATAGCAAATACATAGGGCATATAGGGCGTCCTATAGCAGCTGTGAGTTGGTTGCAACCCTATGTAGGGTTTCTAAGGAGCAGTGGTGAATTTTGAACTGCCAACCTTGCACTTCAAACCCACCTTGTGGTCCAGTGCTTATCCTAAAGGGCCACACCAAGACTAATCCGAGAGCAGCTAGTGGTTTTGAAATGCTTAACTTACAGTTCCACATTTCAGATAATGAGTTCCAACTTGAAAGCAGACAGGTAGTATTGCTAGTGCTTAGCCTTCCATGCAGGCAGGTGACAGATGAGTGGAGGCCCCATTCCAGATCAGGGAGAGATGCTGTGTGCTCCTTTTTACTGCCACCACGCTGCAGTTTCAACATTCCTTATGGCCTATGTTCCTGGACTGTTTGTAGCTATTTCCTTTCCTTCCAAAAGAACTACATACATAGCTCCATTTATCCTTCCAATGTCAAAATAAATGTGTCCTCACTGACAGCAATCTTTCAGTCAA